TCAGCTTAATAACAGACTATTTACCTACCATGATATAGGTTGGAAAAACTCTGGTTGTGACGAAACGCCTTTTGTCACCGGATTTTCTCCTGGATGTTGGAGGAGCCTGCCTCTTGCCTCATGACTATGGCCCTGGGTTATTTGGCCCTTCAAGTACAATATTTGGGCATATTGGATTTGTATGGTGCTACTGCTGGCCCTTTAAAAACCATCCCTGGACATATTATGACTTTTAGGAACAATGTCCCTTTAAGACTGTGTAGCAGATTGCATTCAGGCGGTCTGCAATATTATATATGCTATTATGTGTTCGGTAAATTGGAAATGTGTAGGTTCTATGTGATAAATGTAACAGTATGTATTTTTATGTCTTTTGTTGTCCTTTGTCTGCCATGTGGCTAATGGAGTTTTGCCTCTGTCCTTGGAGATAATTGCATTACTTCTCAATTATCTCCAGAATAGAAGACTCTGAAACCAGTTTGGGCCAGATATCCATGCTGCCAGCCAGGCCCCAAAAGATACTTGTGCTAACTTCTGCACCCATGGTCTGATTCAGGCCATTTTTTAATATGTTGTTCCCCTGAATGGATTGATTGTGAATATGTAGTTTTATGTGAATGTGATGTATAGTTTTAGAGTTATGAAAGTTGGGTAAAAAGTGTGTTTTAAAATGTATGGATAATTGGGTTACCTCTCAGGCTAAGGGGAGGAGATGTGTGGGATGTAACCATTGTGTGATTGGTTGTACTGTGTCCCACCCAGTGGGATGTCCCCTTGCATGGGGACCTGCATAAAAGAAGGTTCTTTGTGTGCCAATAAACAGATCATCTTGTACCTTCATGAAGTTTCGGCTCATGTTTGGGGGATTGGAGAAACTACACTCTGGGGATTGCTATAATCACTATACTCCCCAGGGTATAATCACTAAGCTCTGCTAAGAGCTTGTTCCTGTTCCTGCTCTCTGGAATTCGGAGAGAGGTTGACCTACTGGAAGCTGGACCCTGGTCCTGGGTCCAGAGTGGGTGAAGACGGCGAGATCCCAACCAAGCTGCGGCGGTTCGTGGGGTCTGCAGTGGTTATGGTGTCAGACAGAGTGCTTGGAGTCCTCGGAAAGCACTAGGAGCATCCGTCGGCGGAAGGTACCCGGTCAGGGTGCCAGCGGTTCCGTCACACTGGTAAAGCTGCAGATTATTGTATAGTATCGGTTTAATACCTATTTATGTAGGAAAACCGATACAAAGATTATCAATGACCAAAAATTGTGTCAATATACTCAAAGAGTTAAAATCCCTGCAGTCCACTCGGTCATATAGTGCAACAGAGGGTGCTTTCTATTCAAATTTATTACAGATAGACACCGTCCAATAAACATATAAAAATCTTGCACTTTAAAAACTGTCCCCTACCCCTCAACATTCCGACACCTACCCTAACCTCCCTGAAACAAAAATTCCCCTTCCGCATCTGCCCCACAGCAATCACCTACCTGGGAATTCAGCTCACTGCGGACGTAGCCTCCCTGTACAACAACAACTACACCACCCTATACCGCAAAGCACACGCCAACCTCCAACGCTGGAAACCCATGAACATCTCCTGGCTAGGCAGAATAGCCTCCATAAAAATGAATCTCCTCCCTAAACTTCTTTATGCCTTCCAGGCCCTACCCATTCCCTGCAACAAGACAGACCTAAGAACCTTACAAACCGCCATAGACCGCTTCATCTGGAATGATTGCAAGCCCAGAGTGCGCCGATCAACACTATATGTCCCTAAACACTCAGGCGGCTTAGGACTCCCCAACCTACTGTATTACCAACACGCAGCCCACCTGGCACAAATTCAACACTGGCACCTCCCTCCTGACCATAAACGCTGGGTTGACTTAGAACACCTCATATTCGGACGAGACCACCCCTCCCTATACATATGGCTACCGAAACAGCATAGACCACTGCCCCCCCCACAACCTCAACTGTGATCACCTATTCCATAGACCTTTGGGACCGCCTTAGTGACAAATTTGACCTCTCCTCCGGCCTCTCACCCCTTACTCCCATTCTCCAGGACTCTCACCACAGCACTATGCCCACTTCGAGGACAGAGATATCGTTCGGCTTGGCCACCTATACCCAAACGGCAAACTTATCCAATACATAGACATCCCCCACACCTCCACCATGACAAAGTTTGACCACTTCAGGTTCCTTCAACTCCGCAGCTTTCCGGCATCCGACTCTGTACGCTTCGCAGCCACATCCCCCCTTACCGACTTTGAACGCGACAGCATACGCTCCCTGTTACGCAAGAGCCAGATATCCGAACTATACATGATCCTCACTACACACTACACTCAAATCTCCCTACCATATATAACAGCCCGAGAGAAAGACCTGGGCTCCCCCGACGATCCCACAGACTGGACAGACATCTGGGCAGCCAACAAATCAATCTCCATATGTGTGACCCACCAAGAACAAGCGTATAAGATGCTGTTCAGATGGTATCTCACCCCAACCCGACTTGCAACAATGAAACAAATCCCCAATGGCAACTGCTGGAAACTGTGCGGGGAAACGGGCACATTCCTCCACGTGCCCAAAACCCCTCTGGCAAAGCGTCACAAAATTATTAACACGCATACTTTCCAGACCGGTCCCCATGGATCCCTGGGCTCTACTTCTCTCCAAACCTATCGATCCGTTCACTCGAAACGAAAACAAACTGATAGCCAGGGTGGCCCTAGCCACACGCAGAGCCATAGCGGAAGTCTGGTCCACCCCTCACATACCAACCCAATCCCACATCCACACTAAAATAACTGACAGCACTGACATGGACAACCTGACTGCACAAATACACGACACCCCAAAGTCGTTCCACAATATATGGGACCCATGGATCGATGCAGACACCACCCCCCCTGGTAAATCAACTCTGTCCTCAAACACACGCACCATGCCGCCAAACACATGGACCCCACAGACACCACGTCAACCCCCCTTCCAATCCCCTCCTGCCACCCCCCCCCCATACTGGATGCGGGGCCTCCGGGCGAGTGGCAACACACCCTTAACACTCCCCCCATCACACCTCAGGAGCACCCCCACGAGGCTCCTCACTAAAGACTACTGACCTGTCTCCAGGTTACACACCCCCCCTTACAGTAATCCCACCTCAAACATTGGAACTCAACACTGGCCTGGCACCAACTCTCCCCCTCAGCCCATCTCTAAAGACAGAACCACACCATTCGAAAGGGGGATGATGAACGGACATAACTCTCTTACTATCAGAGAGCACCCAGCCGTAGACCAGACCAAACACCCTTAATAACACCAAGATGACCCAATGTATAATGCATATACCAAGTTAACCTATGTTCAATTGAATGTTACTCTTTGATGTTACAACCTTGTTTCAACCTAACATTCTTTCTTTCTGTATGAATGTTTAACTTAAAAACCCATAAATAAAGAATCTTTAAAAAAAAACAAAAAAACTGTCCCAATGAGAAGCATAAAGTACCAGGTTAACACACTGTAGACCCGAAGATCTTCTTATCTCCCTCTCGCAGGCCGGATAAGAGGGAGTTTGGATCTCTTTGTGATGTTAGAACACTGGATGCCCGCCGCGTGCATTCCACTGCGGCTCTGAATGCGTTCCACTTAGCTGTCTCCTGGGAGCTCATGTAGGATGCCTGCCTAACATCATGTCCTGATTTCACTACTGATTAGGTTCATTAGTCACGTATATATTTTTTTCAATTGATAGCCTCAGGTGTGGGCTATTTTTTCAGTGAGACAGTGGTTATGGTTGTCTAATTTAGGTCTCTCTATCCATCTTTAGCAGGATATTTCATCAGTAGTTTAGGTGTGCTATCCTGTATAATTTTTTTCACTTATTTAAAAAAGGAGTCCTCTGACTAGCCCCAGACAAAGGCGCATTATACTAGCGCCAAAACCAGTGTCGGGCGTTTTCAAACGCTTCATTTTCCATTATTATTTTCATATTTAATTTGGGCTTTAGGGTGATGGAAATTATGAGTGTTTAGATTTTTCGTTTTGTTTATTAAGGAAGGGGGGGGGGGGTCGAGGAGTGTGCTTGTAGGTAGCTGAACGAGTATGTTTTAGTCAGTCTCCACAACTAGACCAACCAGTCAGTAATTGTATCAGTTTCGTCCTTTTGGCAGACCTTAGCGTTAGTGAGTTACTATTACCTTTTCACCTATTCAGTGGTATCCAGACATAGTGATTGGTTCAACGTCTAGCTATCGATCACCTTATTTGGTCTTAAGAAGTATTTATGGTTCATAGGTGTCAGCTCTGCGTATCTGATGGTTTATAGTGCTTCCCCAAAGGGTAAAAGTTAAGTGCACTAATTATTACTGTTAGTACTGCAACTTAATTCCCCTCCAACCACACTAACATGGGTGTAAGTTGAGTTCCATCCTTCCCAGAGCTAATGACTATTGTCAGTGACCAAAACACCCACTACTATTGTGTCCACATTATTGCAGAAGCTACTTTTTTCTTGTTCCTCTTTGCATTTATTAATTCTCTGAACACTATTCTTTCCCCTTTCCTTTTACTTCTTTTTGTAAAGCTTTTCTCTTCTCTCAGTGCTTTCACCCATCTCTTAGCCTTCCGGCTCCCTGCTTTTTAAACAAAACCATGAGTTGTGATTCAAAAGAACAAATAAATATAAGTCAACAATGGACTGTATAGTTCCGGTTTTGGAGTATTACCAGCATGCATCGGTTCTGGTCTAGAAGTTGGTGCAGTATTTCTAACATTGTTCTACCACAAAGGGATAGAAAATCTGAATTTGTATCAGTTAGAGGAGAATTTATCATATTTTTACTCGCACCACAACATTTTCAAATTGTATATTAAGCAGTAATACACTCTTATCACTCAAGCCATTCAATAAAAATTTATTCACCTAAACAAAGTTAAATTAAATACATATTATAAATAAAATTCTTATTTTTCCATAATCTACATCATGTCCTCCATGGTCTTTGCTACTTCAAACAGCTGCATGATCCTAGTTGATGGTACACATCCTTCACGCAGTATTGTGACAATACCTAAAAAGGAGATGTGAACAATTTTAATATATTCCACAAAACAATACATGGATCATTAAGGACAATTTCAATGTGCAAAAACCTTGGTACAATTATATAAAGAGGAAAATATATACACAAATTAGTAACTTGAGTCTTTTTTTAACCTAAATCTATCAAATCCAACTTTTTAAAAAGCACTGATTAACTGACCATTCTTTTACATTTATATATATTTATATCAATGCCTTAAAGCGATTTTGTGACTTTTCAGTATTTCATTGAATTTGCAACGCAATCCAAAGATATCATAAGACAAAGTAGGGACTGTCTTATTTTGTCTTTGTCTTATTGAGGTTGATAAAAGGCATAGCTATGCTGTCAACTTTTTACAATCCCTACAGCCACCACAAATGACAGCTGTGAGATTCAGGCTTTTTCTATGGAGAATCCCCAGGCCTAAGTGTTGTACTCTCACGCAAGGTTTTTTATATTATTAGCCCTCACCACTGAGTAGGGATGGGGGTACAATAGGCCCTCTGTTATTATATTTAAAGCCCCCACCCAAAGCCAATGGGGGAGGCTTGAGGGTGGACACTAACTAAGTTCCCCCCATTCATTTTATTGTAATCTCTCCCACTACTTTATCTTTATTAATATTTTCTTAATTGACCTATAGGACCTTAATTTAGATTTTTGTCATCTTTTTAGATAGCTCCATAATCCTTATGTAATATTGCAATAAGGATACCAAATAAGGGAGCTATCTACTCAGTCCCCTAACTTGGTACCCTTAAATATGGCAGTCCTACAAGCGTATCAGTATAGGAAGTTATCTGTTAAATGGCTGCAAGATACAGCCACAGATAGCGGAATTTCATATGTCTGAATGAAATTTTAAAATAAAAATAATAAACAAGTTTCATCTGAAAACAAAATATCCAAATGGACTAAATTAGTTTAGAAGAAACATAATTTTCTTTAGGATGTATTCGGACAAAACTAAAATTCAGCAGAGCCAAAGTATAGCTCCTGCTAACTCTAGCAGGCTATTAAAGGAACAAGAGTTCTAAATTAAACTCTGTGTGCAATAAAGGACGTATATTCTTATTTCTTTCTTTCCAGGAAGTTTTTAGGAAGACTGTTTAAGTCACACATAGGGGAGGTGTGGCTACGGCTGTTTAAACAAAGTGATTTAACGCTTAAATGGCAGAGAATTGAGCACTGAGAATGCAATGGTGTGATCTATTCACCAAAACTGCTTCATTAACCTAAAGTTGTTTTGGTGCCTATAGTATCCCTTTAAGTTAATAAAGTATGTGATTTGGAGTTAAGACCTATGAGTATTTCTTTAAACCAGTTACATGTATATTTCATATGATAAATATCCAGATACAGTAACTTCTCTTACAGAAAGAGCAAGTAGAAAATATGAGAGCTGTATTACTATATTTTGGGAATTATACTTAAGTGTTAAAAAAAGTTTCTTCATAATGGTTATTAGCAATGTCTACTGATTGTATACGCATAGTAATTTGCAGTACAACTTTAATTTTCTGATATTTATTTATAATATATTTTACCAGGTAAGATACATTGAGATTTCTCTCGTTTTCAAGTATGTCCTGGGTCCACAAAACATTGCATTGTTATATTAGGGTACACTAAATTACAACTACAATACAAATACAAAAACAATATTAATACACAATATATACAAACTTTACCATAGAACAGGTAGGAAATATATAATCACCCATGACATGTGCATTCTGTTTTGAGGTATATAGAGAGGGATCTCTTAAAGGACTCTAGGCTTGGGGAAGATTTTAAAGTGTGCGGGAGGTTGTTCCACAATTGCGGTGCTCTATAGGAGAAGGAGGATCGGGCTGCTTTCTTTTTGCATTGAGGTAGACTAAGTAAAGTGCTGGTACTGGATCGGAGGTTATAGGAGGTGAGAAAAGCTAAGGAGAGCATTTTGCTCAAGTAGGGTGGGAGTTTCCCAGAAAAGCTCTTAAACACAAGGCTGGAAAGATGAAGGGTTCGTCTGGATTCCAGCGACAGCCAGTTTAGTTATTTTAGCATGTCACAATGGTGTGTCCTGTAATTACATTGTAGCACAAATCGGCAGAACGAGTTATACAATGTATTGCGTTTATTAATGTGGGATTGTGGTGCAGTTGCATATACTACATTCCCATAATCAATGGTTGGCATCAGCATTTGCTGTACAATCTTTTCCTTTACTAAAGGGCTTAGGCAGGATTTGTTTCTGTACAGGGCACCTAGTTTTGGATAAAGTTTAGATGCAAGTTTTTCTATGTGGAGGCCAAAAGATAGATTGGGGTCTAACAACATACCCAAGTATTTGAAAGAGTGGACTGCAGTCAGTGTGCCATTTGAATTTGTTTTGATGGATAGGTGGGAATTGTGTAATTTGTGTAATTTAGGTACTGTTCCAAAGATCATTATGACAGTTTTGTCAGTGTTTAGGAAGAGTTGTTTTTTTGAGATCCACTTTTCTACCTCTTTAAACTATCACTTTACTGCTAGAAATGTCTATATTCTATGCCATTCAGGTGAACTTCAATAAAACAACCGCAAATTAACTGTTGAGTACTTAATTTGTAGGACACATAACATGTAATCATAAGACATTATATAAGTACATCAAGGCATTTCTTAGTTAATACAACTCACCTTCATCTATCTTCAAGCAATTTACTACAGTAGATCCTACAACTTCATTGGAAGTTCCATCACAAAGAACTGCATCGAGCTTGTCACTCAGACGTCTGAGAGAGAAAATGTACAAATGGAAATAGTATTACTAAAGGTTCTAGCATTCCTTGCATCATCTCTTATACCATAAAGACCCACTAAAAATAATAAACGTTTATGTTACGTACGATATAACCATGTCATGGTGAGTGCTGTCAGACTCTCCACTTGGATTGGCCGAGGTAATAGCAATTGGGCCTGTTATATCAGTGAGGTGAGAAGTGACAGTGTGGTCAGGAACCCTTATCATGATAGACTGATGTGTCCCAACTTGGTCATATGCAGGACCTACACCTAAGAGATAGAAAAAGCAATGATTACTGCATGACAAACAATGGTTTGCATTTCAATCTGATGTTAAAGGGATACTATAGTGCCAGGAATACAAAGCTGTAGAAGGCTGTGTAAGTCACATGGTGGCAGGTGTGACTAGGTGTGACTCTATTCACAAACATGACTTTACATAGGACACGTGTTCAAGCGTTTAGACTGGAACAAAAAAGATTTAGTCTAAGCCAAAAGAACGTTTTTTTGTTTTGTTTTTTTTTAACCGTAAGAACAATATGGATGTGGAATTATCTGTCTGTAAAAGTCGTTTTATCAGAGTCCGTACAGATGTTTAACCCCTTAAGGACACATGACATGTGTGACATGTCGTGATTCCCTTTTATTCCAGAAGTTTGGTCTTTAAGGGTTTAAACAGTAACTAGATGCATACTTGCAAAAACATATTATTCAATGATGTAACTTTTCAACTGTAGAGTAATAGCTTCTTGATCCAAGGATAAATCTGACTGACATTGTGGGGTCAATACGGAATTTCCCCCCAGTTTGTTGCAAAATTGGAAGTGCTTCAAACTGGGTGATTTTTTTGTCTTCTTTTGGATCAGCAGCAACAAACAAATGTGAGGAAAGCTGAACTTGATGGACACATGTCTCTTTTCAGGAAAAATGTAACTATATTACTATATTATTTTAACAGCAATTTGAAAACAGTGTTACAACCAAATGATCAGGGACTCGAATTCTATTGGCATACTCAGATAACAGTCCAAGATTATGACAAAAGGCTTGATTTGTAAGGATTAATCAGGAGTAAATGCAGGACTTGTAGCTTTAAAAAAAAGTCAGCTTAATTGGCCAAACAAATGTGTAGGCTGATTGAGTAACTCAGGAAATTATGCAGAGGTGGAGAGTAACTGATTAGTCCAGTAAATTCCATTTACCTCAAGTCTCATAAAATGGCAAGTAGTTTATTTTGGATATCAAATTACTGTTTATTTGCCCTTTCTTTATGTGTATTTTGTGCTAACCATCAATATGTGTAATGTATGTGTGTGGAATGGAATCATTGAACTAGTCCCAGCCGTCCCTTTGGGCTTGTAGGAGTGATTTGTTAGTTCATTTCACACTGGGAGCATATATATTTGACATACTTTTGGGCTGACCGTGTAAGTCATGGCTGACAGAATGCAGAATTAAAATGATTCCCTCACAATAATGTCCTAGGGACGAATTAAAAATGTAACACTTCATCTTCAGACATTGATAAGGAGCTATAAAGTTTTGACTATAAAATCTCTGGACTTCAAATAGAATCAAGTATACTAAACAAACAAATGATACCTAACTAACGGGATGCAGTATTTGAGAGCAGTGGAACATGCCATGAAAGTTTGGTTCAAAATATGCGGGTGTGACCGTGTGCATGGATAAGAAGCGTGAGGTTGTCTGTCTCCATGCCTAAGGCCGTATGGTAAAGCTTTGCTTACCCAATTTTTTTAGCCACTCCCCTTTCTGGACAATGCAGCTGATTCCCCCAGGGTAAACTAAGTCCATGAACCTCCAGAGAAGGGGGCTGAATGGAGGATTAATCACTCTCAGCTGATCGAGGTTAGAGATACAGATGCAGACTGGCTTTTCAGTAGGCCGTTCCTGTAAAGGGATGATTGAAATGTCAATGTCAACTGACTTAGTAATTAAATTAAAACATGCATCACATTCAATCTGAATGGCAGATCTGAGGCTAAAACAGCTAAGTTTGGGGAAAATCTCAAACTTGGCTATAGTCACAGCTTGACTAGTTTAACCTTAATTTTGCAATTCTGATTTTATTATTATTATTATTGGTATTTATATAGCGCCAGCATATTCCGTAGCGCTTTACAATTATCAGAGGGGGAGATTTAACAATTATTTTTTCATTTGACAACATTTTTTTGTTTTGTTAATAACCTTGCAAGAATGCAACTAATTAGAACAAATAACTATTTTAATTCACTTATAAATATAAGACACATAAAGAGGCGTACCTGGGTTATCCAACACCCATAGCGGAAACTTACATTGGCATTCCCACTTCCCTCCGCCGCTCCCAAACTGTAGAATTTTATTTATTGATTTATTTTGTCTCTCTACAATGTCCCTAATGCCACTTTGTTAGGGAAATAACAAACACCCACATTCACATTTATATACTCACACATACTTACATTCATACACACTCACACAGTCATATATTCACACTCACACATTTGTTTTTTTATTTATACTTTTATCCCTTGTATCTAGTGGTTTGTTGCTGGGATCAGCACTGATTGCACAGCTCCCTATAGTTCTGTACTGATGCCTGGCTGGTGTGATGTTCCATCAGTGCTCCTGTCACACTTGCAGTCAGAACACAGACTGATTCCAGTAGCTCTCATGATGCCTGCTTAGCAGTCTGTCATAAGGTAACTGCAAATCAGGCACTTTCTGTTTGGCTCTGCCTCTGGTATGCATGTGCTACGCACCTGGGGCACACTGCATTACAGCTCACCTCCCACCGCACGTTAACACACTACTGGACACACAATAGTAACATTTCATCAAGTTATCATTCTAGAAAATTATTTAGGCTACCACCAAACAAACCAATTCTTCTTATGTGCGTGCACTATGTGCAAGATGTCACAATGACAAGTCTACCATTTTTAATTTTTACACTTCGTAGACAATTCTCTGTGCTTACAGCATGTTTATACCTCTTTGTGCATAGCCACACTCTCGGGATTATTTACTCTACTCAGAATGATAGCAAATTTTAAATCTTAATGAGAAGCTTCACCATATATTAGTTTATCTGGAAAACATTTCAATCTCAGATTTAGGCACAGCATGGATATTTCAGACTAAATTTTGCCATTTAGATTTTCGTTTGCTGCTATTCGGAATTAAGTGAATTTAAAGATTTTGTTTCACCTACTATTAAAAAAGAAAATATCAATATGCTTAGTAATGAGAAATCTCACCACGTTCCCCAAGTCATAAAATTAAAAAAGGCCTCTAAATAAACGATATAGACCAATAGCCATATATAGTTACACACACACACAAAGTGAATTTCCAATTTAAGACCAGAACTTCAAATTCAGCCAAACTGAAAACATAGCTGATTTAGAGAATGTTTCTAGTTTGGACATTTTGGATTTTGAATTCACCTTGAATTCTCACTTTAGTGAATAACCCTGATAGTTACGAAGAAATATAGGGTGAAAAAAAGATTCTGAATATAAAGGCAAAGTGGCAAAGAGTAAAGTATAATCATTAAGATACAAGGTAAAGAAAACAGAAATAATTAAAATAAAAACAAAAAAATCATGACTAAGCCAATGTAGTTTCAGCTTTACGTACATCTATTTCTGCTCTTGTTCCAAATCTGGAAATCCCTCTCCCACCCATCCCAAAATAAAGTTAATAGTAACTGTGCCACAAAGTTGGAAAATACCTCTTAAATTTGGACCAACAAGCTTTTACCCAGGGCCAAAATTCCACCTCAGGCAACTGAAGCTACAGAATAAAAAAAATAAAAATAAAAAAAAGCCACCAGAAAATGTAGTTCTCTTGTGCTTGCTCCCTGACTTTGTTATAGCCCAAGATATTAGGAGATTCGTCTCTCCCTTGCCCCCTCTGCTAATAATAATAAAAAATACAATTAAATTAAATAACACCAGTTCTTGAATGATCAGCCTTAAAAGTGCCTATACTATTCATGGTTGTATTTCCTATCTCATTAGTTCACCAACAAACGAGTACTAAGCAATTGTCTTCTCACCTTAATGGTGTAAATTCTTTTGATGGCGTCTGGGTGTTTGCATGAAGCTGCAAGAGCATAGACTGTGTCAGTAGGAATTCCGCAAACGCCTCCATTTTCCAATAACTTTGCAATGGTTCTTACACCACTCGTCCGATGAGACTGAGATAAGATGCATGATGATCCTGAAATTCCTTCCATCCTTTTTCACTCTTGTTTCTGTGTGTAGAAAAAATATAAAGAGTCAACAATTATACATGCTGGTAATTCACACCTTTTCTGATAGGTTTTACTATATAAATTATACAACCATGCTGCTATTATTTTTCATGATGTAACATGTTAACACTACCAGAATTATTTAGTAAACCAAGATGTGTTGGGAATTAGCCAGAAAATTGCACATTTTACTGTAAAATATCAAACATGGTAAATAGATGAATTGGAGATTTTTTCAAATTTGGCTGCGTTGCTTTAAAATCTGCAAATCAAAATAAACAACCATGAAATTGTATATATTGTAGGATATTATTATGTATGTTGTATTATATGATGTTATTATATTATTTATTATTACTTAAGATATACTCAACGTGTCTATACATTTTAGATTGCCTTAAAGCAACACCACAACAGTGTCAGAACCACAACAGCGCGCTGTATTAGTTATGGTGCCACAGGTGCCCCAGCATGCCTTCATGGTAAGTAGTCAAAACATTATAGAATAATTTAACTTCTTACCTGGAGTACCACTCACTACTTCCAAAACCCAGTCAGAGAGCCATACAGAGAGAATACAGTGATCAATTGGCAGGGACTACATTTTACGGTGATCTGATTTTTTTTTTTTAACCCCTGAGGATCAACTTTTATTTTTTGTAACCCTTATGGGTTCATTTTATTTGATTAATTAATTTAAATATATTAAAATTATATATTTAGCAAGCTGGGGTGGGTGGAAGTTAGTGGTAAATTGGGGAATTTGGTGTTAGGCTAACCAGGGGTTAACGTTAAAAATAAAAGTAAAAAAAAAGTTTAAATAACGTTTTTTTTTTTTTTTAAGTTTAAAAAAATCCCCCCCTTTACCCAGTCCTAATAAAAATCTACCCCTTCCCTGCCAGTTGATCACTACCTACAGTGATCAAAATACAGATCACAGTATTATACTGTGATCTGATTTTTTTAACCCTTTAGGGTTTAAAACCAAGTTTAAAAAAGTAAAAAAAATACATTTAAAAATGCTCATTACCACTACACCTGAAACAAACTAGAGAAAAAAATGATCCCACGCTAAGGTTCAAAATATGCCTTTTGAATTGCCCTGGGATATCTTCTTTAAGAAATAATATGCCTTTATGGTGTAATTGTAATATGTAGCCTGCTCAAGTGCTCCAAAGTGGGACATGGACGCATCAAAACCCTCCATGAAAATTCACACTTAAAAACCTGAACTTGTCATGTCTCTTTTACAGCTCTGTAACTTCACAAAATAGTCTCTAGGTCATACATTGGGCAGATGGTTTTACTCAGAAGACTTAGCTGAGCATAATTTGTGGATTTTTATGACAGTGGTACATATCAAGTGTAAGAAATACTCAGCAAAAATGCAACATATATGTAAAAATGCTATTTTTTCCCCCCTCACCACAAATATTGACATAAATTGGTGAAAAAATGGTGACCAGTTAAGGCACAATATACACCATATTAGATACACTGGGGTGTCTACTTTATCAAATGAAAGCCCTTTGTGGGGTTATTTGAACAGTCACGCTGCTATAATACCCTAAATGAGACATAGGCCCATCAAATCCATCTAGGAAAATTCTAATTATAGAAACCGAAATAGCCTTGTCTCTTATATGGCATTGAAAAGTGCCAAAGGCATACAATTGGGGTATTGTTATACTCAGCAGATGTAGCTGAACACAATATGGGGTTTAGTGCAGGAATAGCACACGCCAGCTTTACGAAATACACATTACAAAAACCTTGTTATTTGTATAAATGCCAAAATAAAGAAAAAACACAATTTTACTCCAATATTTAGCAGAGATTGGCGATGAAATGGCTACGTAAAAAGTGTTCAACTAACCTTAGGTAAATAGCCTGTGATGTCTCCTTTATATAAATATATACTAGACAAACATACCAACTTCTAAAATTGTTGCAAATTGAACTTTTATTTTAGTCCTTGTATTTTATTGACCTGTAACTTTTCAAAATAAGCAGAAATCCTAAACATATGATGTACTCTATAAATCAAGACACATAAATGAATTTATTTTGAATTACTTTTTCTAAGCTGGACATATTATGCACACACTATTATTGCCAAAACTGTGAAAAAAAATAATATTTTTTTAAATTTTTGGGCATTTACTTTATAATTTATGAGAATGTATCTTTGTATATGTGACATCAAATTAAAGCCCTGTTTGCCCTCTAACAAACAATGTATAATATGTGTTGGTGCAATAAATGACAGAGATGTAATTGCGTTTGAACACAAACCGCAAAAAATGCAAAAACGGCTTGTGTCCTTAAGCATAAGACAAGCTTCTGAAGCTGTGTCCTTAAGGGATTAAATATAAACCTAACATTGTAATATTATATGAAAACTGGAAACCTTCCATGAAACTCCATCAAACTTTTAAATCCTAAGCACTGTTCTGCTTCTAGCACAGTAAAGTATAGAAAATGCCTAAAATGGCTAAATTCCTGTTTTGTGACTTACCTGCTTTGTATAGTGATCTAGAACACCTGCTTGTCTTCACAATTGCACTCTCTAACACAAGTCACTGGTTTATATGTAAAAGAAGATTTTAAGATGGGTGGAGTAAAACATATTTTCCTCATTACCTTTGTCAGAAAATCATACCTCGCAGTCAAGTATCTGACCAAAAACATTTCCTCATTTGTCACCTGTTCATAATTTTAGTGCTATTTTGAACATTGCTATTTTTACACTTTATCAGTTAGTGATGCCATTTAGATATTTCTATTAACTTTCTCCTATAGGGAACTGAAACTTCTTCATTAATATTTAGATATATGCAATGTAGGAATGTTTTCTTTCCTGATTAATACAATACAGAGCAGGAGAGGTGAGTAATGCAATTTTATGTAATCATAATATTTACCACTATTCAAGTTTCCAAATGACATATTTAACATATTTAAAGGGACACTGTAGGCACTGTAACCATTTACTGTAGTTGAATTGATCATCGTGTCTGGGGTCCCCTGGCTCTGTCTCTCCATTCAGTTGTAAACCATTTTCGAGCAGTTTAACATTAAAAGTGGGTCCCTGACTTTCCTTATGCCTCGCTCCCACTGGAGGTGTAGCTAGGGCATTTCTTTGTAGCCACAGCAATTCATAGCGACAATAGGCTGTGTGATAGGCTGAAGGCGATCAGCTGGCACTCTAAGCCAATCACAGCTACCCATTGCTGCCCAAGCTCTGGAGTGCTGAAGTTGCCTACTTCTGTCTTACCACTGTTTTAGAATCTGGGTGGATCCAGAATATTCACAACATTCTAAAAAATTTCAAATAAGTACCATAAGCACAATTTTTTTTAACCGTAGCAAAGTGTCAGCGCTTAGTCAGTAATCCCCAAAGATCAGTACATAGAGGTAGTCTTGATTTTCCAATGTACGTTACAAAGATACAAATAAACAAAATATAGTGTAACACTGTATCATTTATTAAGGAACAAAAATCCCCAACCCTTTATTGAGAACTCTTATGCAGTATATATCCTTGGTGGTCCATTTTCAAATCGGAGCTGTGTTAAAGTGATAGTTCATGCTGTGGCAGAACTTTTAATATATTTTTATTTTGAATTGTATCCGATCTTAATGTTTTAAGGCATATAGGAACAATAGAATGGGTCATAATGATAACAATTAACAATGAAATACTAAATAACGTATCTCAATATGCATAAAAGCACTAGTTCCATTCCAAAATGTGTTAATGCCAATTCAACATATAATATTATTAATAATATAGTTACTTTGATTTGGTTTTAAATAATTTAAAATAATTAAAAGGGATCAGTGTAAGCAAGGATATTAGAGTATCGATATAGTTCTTAATTTCAGACCTCAAATAGTTAAGCACTAGTGATGTCCCGAACGGTTCTCGAACGGTTTGACGCGAACGGTTCCCCGCGAACTCATCATTGAGTAAACTTTGACCCTGTACCTCACAGTCAGCAGACACAATCCAACCAATCAGCAGCAGACCCTCCTTCCCAGACCCTCCCACCTCCTGGACAGCTCACTAAGAATGCAGCTTCCCAAAGAATGTAAAATGGATGCTGTCCAGGAGGTGGGAGGGTCTGGGAGGGAGGGTCTGCTGCTGATTGGCTGGAATGTGTTTGCTGACTGTGAGGTACAGGGTCAAAGTTTACTTGATGATGAGTCCGTGGCGAACCGTTCGTGGCGAACCGTTCGTGGCGAACCGTTCGGCGAACCGTTCGGGACATCACTATTAAGTACCTAAAACTTCAAGCCTCCTCTATACATACCTATTAAGATAAAATATAATGAAGGGGGCAGGGCCGGGCCGCCGAGCTGAGCGGTCGCAGGACAGATCAGCTCCTGCACAATATGACTTATTAAGCCTATGAATCGGTTTTCTTGGGGGAATAAATGGTCACCATCCACGACCCTCGATGCACACGGACTACTGGAGCTGAGGAGAGGCTTTCTCCTGGAGTTATAGTACCTCGGAGGAGAGGTCCCTGCTGTACCAGGTGGGAGCCTGCCTGGCGGTGAGTGGAATGGACGGCCGCCGCTCCACTATCCTGCCCAACGGAGCCCGACAAGCGCATGGAACATCGGCGGACCCGGTCCAAGTGACCCATACCTTACAGCAACACCCAAGTCCGGAGACACACCGGATGCATGGCGCTGGCAACCTGGCACGATGCACCACCCACGTGGACGGCACGGTGGATGAGACCGCTCACTGGGAGGAACCCCTCCACAGCCTGCCATACCTCCAGGGGAAAGACTGGGACCCAACGGAACCCTGGGCTCACAGTCCTGTTTATGGGACCAATGGCGAATGGGCATGAGCTCCTACTAAGGCCTCAGGCTGAAGACAGGCGACTCCGGACGCAGTGTCACCACGACATCGGGACAATCAGCTACCTCGGTGCACTGGTGCAGGTCTACAACTCGGCAAAGAACCAAGCGGCATTCACCCCGAGGTACAACGCAATACCCTGCGGAGTACGATGAGTACATACTTTGACAATAACGGATTCGCTAGCTATTGCCTTACAACCTTAGCGTGGCTAGGACTTGGGCCTCAAAATCTTAACTGCTGCCAGCTGGAAAATCCCTTGTTTACTGCATTATTTTAATTACCTAATGTGTTGGCCTCGAAACCTCTGGGCTCAGCGGGCAGGGCCTTTATTGGCCGGGGCAAAGCACGCTTCTGTACGTTTATTGCTTGCTGTCTCTGCACCCTTAACTGACACCCTGCTGCATTCTCCTCTCACTAATCTATCACCTATATTTCTGAAAAAAGCTACAGCTCTATCCTCAAATCTCTTTCACATGCCATTAACCTAATAGTATAGAACTTTGTTCTGATGTCTATATTATTGACGCTGATGCCCTATGGATGTAACAAACAAAGTCAGTTTTTACTATGACTCACCAGTAAGGTTGATGCTTTAAATACTAACAAAGCTTGCTCATATTATACGATTGTGTTTGTTTAACGTAACCTAGAATGCCAGCAAGCTGCTAGAACTAAAGAGACTGTCACATGAGTCCCAAAGCATATACGTACAACCTGCTATCAGGTTTACTCGTTTGATGTTACTACTAGTCAGAGATAATGGAAATGGCTCATGTATAACTGCCTAATGTAGAACCTGCCTGACACGTAATCCTGTTTTACTTTACCTACTATTACGCTAAACTTGATATTAATAGTTTGAAACGCTTAATTACTATAATATAAAATGAGGCTGCCACTTATAGGAGATGTTACAGTGTTCTCGTACACCCAAGCTGTATGTATAACGTACATCCCCTTCTCTTCATTCTGAACCCCTATTAATGCTTGCCTCAATAAAAGAAAGATTGACAAAAAAATAAATACAAAAAATTATGAAAATCTGTATAATCTGGATAATTACAATCTATATCAAGTATGATTACCACAGTCTGTTTAGATGAAATAAAAGACATATCTTATAAAACATGAATATAGTATAAATTTGCAAATATGTATTATTAAGAATTACCATAAATTTTATTATGCTGAGTATATTTCTATTACCTAAAAATACCATTATTTCTATAAAACTTATAAATAATTTTATGGTATTAAAGGATGTTTGTTAGTTCTAATTCAGCATTTAGACCAGGGGACTAGTGTCTTCAAATGATATATTGTGATAAAGTGAAGGCAGAGAGGCCTTTAACATTTAACCCAGGGAAGTACGTGTTGTATGTGTGGTGTGCAACACAAAGCTACGTTTAGTTATGGGCCCCTGGGGTGGAGCATTTGGAGAGCATGGTGGTCCAATGCTCCACTCCTCAGTTTATACACAACTGGGGGAAATAAGGTCCAGGCCAGAGTTTTTTGGAGCTGTCTCCAACCCACTGCTCAGCTGCAGATAATCAGCTGTAGCAGTGGGAATAAACCCCTCCCTGCTAGGCAGGTAAAGGGAGATTGCTGGCTTCCTCCCTGGAAGCAGGTAGGAGAGAGGCTTTTCTCTCCAGTGAGAGAGTCGAGGAGACTGAGCACTGGGAGTGCAAAAGGAAAGCAGTCAAGGCTGGCTTGGAACACTGGGAGTGTAGAAAGGAAAGCAACAGTCTGACTAAGCACTGGAGTGCAGAGAGCTGACAAAGACACTAGGTTGGTGAAACCAATATTGTTTTGTTCTAGTTTAACCCCTGAGAGATAGGGAACCTGATGTTAGTAAGTGCTCAGAAGAGCTAGGTTTTTGTTTATAGGGCTTTGAGTTATATTTATGTTTTCATTTGCTGCTGTCTCCTGTGTGGACTTACAAATAAAGTGCCTCGATTATATGAAAATAAAAGGACTGTGCCTGTTGTTTACCCTAGAGGACCGTGCTATCTGCAAACAAGGGTCACAATATCCAGAACATTTCTTGATTTGTTAATATTTTTCTCAGCCCTCCCCCCCCACCCCCCCATAGTACTTTTATATGTTGTATACCACACTAATTTAATACTTTGGGATCACCATCATAGCATTCCATATACGGCTTTAACCCCTTAAGGACCAAACTTCTGGAATAAAAGGGAATCATGACATGTCACACATGTCATGTGTCCTTAAGGGGTTAATAAAGTGTGATTAACACATTTTCTTTTTATATTGTACACATGTTCTCTTAATCATATTTTAAGCAAAGCAAAACCTTTTTGATCATTAAGAAAATGTCTCAGGATAGTCTGTGCTCCTCTCAAAAGTATTATACATTTTTCAGTTGATGGCATTGAGTACTGTAGTTTAATATTAAGTGACAACTAAAATTTGCTTATTTTTTTCATGTTATTATGTTTCGAAGGTAAAAGTAATTTGTGTCTATCTAGACCAGCGTTTCCCAATTAGTGTTCCAACAAAATTGGGGTTCTGCCGTGAATTGCCCCATCCAAGATGGCCGCCGCTCCCTGCTGTTCCCGGAAGTTCGGAAACAGCAGGAATCACGTGGCCGCGATCTTATAAAGAGATCGCGCCGAGCGTCATTTAAGGTAAGAATTCCTCCCAGCCCAGTATTCCTTCATTTCTCTCTCCTCCCAGCATTCATTAACTCGTCTCTCTTCCCAGGATTCCTTTATTCCTCTTTCCTCTATGTATTCTTTTACTCCTCTCTCCTTCAGTATTCCTTCACTCCTCTTTCCTCCCTGTATTCTTTTACTCCTCTTTCCTTCAGTATTCTCCCATTCTTCTCTCCCCTAGAGTTAAGCTGCCTTACACTGACTTGGCATATTGATCCAAGTGCAATATCTAATTTATTTTGATAAATGCTCCATTTAGTTCCCTATTGTTCTCACAAGAGCAGAGGTTTGACTTTTGGTTGAAGTGAGGCTTGCTTGTATAGTGACACATAGTGTTCATGAGAGTAGCTGCAATTTCTTCTAACTACCAAATAATTGCAAGCGTGAACTGAGAGTATCCACATGATTTTGGCAATTTTAAAATATTATTTTAAAATATTTTTTTTACATTTATTTTTACTTATTTATATATAATTTTATTTAAATATAATATAATATAATATAATATATATATATATATATATATATATATATATATATATGTGTGTGTGTGTGTATTTTTGAATATTATTTTTTCTGCATACGATCAGTAGAAATCTTTGGTAAACCAAAAAAAATTAATTCTAAGAGCTGTTAACAAAACCGCTTCCTTTGGTGAAATCTGTTGTAAAGTGTTCTCTTTACTCCAAGATTGAGCACAAATCCTGCTTAAGTTTATTTCTTTCTAAGAGCTTTATAAAATAAACAGCATCCTTTGCAGTCAGGTAGTGAGACCTGTTTTAAAGTGTTCTTATCTTTTTGCTCCAAGACTGATTCAAAATCCTTCTTACATTAAGTTCTTTCTAAGAGCATTATTAAAAAACAGCATCCATTACAGTCAGGTAGTGAGATCTGTATTTTTTCAGGTTAGAGAAGTGTTTTTTTTTTTGTGTTTTTTTTACCAACCAACAACCATGAATTCGGACAACTAGTTAAAACAACTATCAAGAGAAAAATTGTTACTACTTCTAATTGTTCGACAATTTTAGATATTGAGAAATATGATATGACAAGAAATCAAGAAAACAAGTCCAAAATAGTTGAATCTACTGTTCCTCAAATAACAGAGACAAGTGACAAGTCACAGAAAAAAAGAAAAGCACACAATGGTACCCAATCTTCTTCTCAAACAAAGAAAAGAAAATATGATGACAGCTACTTAAAATTAAGTCAAATTGTTATATGAAAGGTGATAAATGCTTATAGTTTGACATTCAAATATCAACAAAATAGTAGCTGTGTTTATCGAAGAGGAATCTAATGTAAGATGTGCGTATTACACAGACAGTACGAAATAGAAAGGTTACTCTATAGATGTAAGTGAAAAGTCCAAGTGAAGTTTAGTTACAATAAATGAATACCCCACTGAGTAAAATCATGGAAAACATGCAAGAATTATATTGCAACCGGAGCCTCTGAGAAATAATCTATTGTTGCCACAAAACAGCTGTTTGTCCGATTGATGGCTGACCGATTAACGTCTGACAGATTGATGACTCAAACAAGGTTTGCAAAAGTTTACAATTTTTATTGCAAAAAGTTACCTGTACCCTGTGGACATATAGGAACTTTCTGGTTATGAAAATCATTTTTTGTTCAATGGGAGGATTTTCATCAGACAATGCAGGTCTCCTTTTGACATTGTTATATTTTCATGTATTTATTTTTTGATTATTTTGTCATGTTTTTCGTTTATTACCGTGGCCAACCTGTTGGAACACCTTGATAATATGCCCATTTTGGACTTGCGAGGTTAGTCAGCAGTTGGCCAACGGCAAAGCAGGACATGAAGAAAGTGAAAGATGACTATAGGGTGGATATTGGAGTTTGTCAACTAATCCATTGTTAAACCCTTTTACTACCAAGTTATACCAAAGGTGTGTTCATTTTACCAAGATCGAAAAAGATATACATTGCTCCTATATGAGGATCATAGTAAACAACTCATTTTTGTTGATTGAGGATATGAAACATAACTTAAAGGGCACCTCTTATGCCCATAATAACTTATGCTCTTTTTATATTTATGTATAGATTGGGAAGAAAACCTATTTAAAAATAGGTCAATGCTGAAGAATTGATTGACAAGGGAAAGCAGAAAAGACCTTCAGCTCTCCACAAAGAGCAACCACAACACACTCTGATAACGTATGGGAACGAAGTGACGCCGAAAGTTAGTGTGTCAGCATCATAATGGAGGTTTACCCATTTTACGGAAGTGTCCCCACTCACACAGCTTCATATACCACTATACTCAGATTCAGACACA